CTCCCCCCCCCCCCCCCCCCCCCCCGAGTTGATGTTGACTGGGACTGATGCAGTGATGCCTATCTCCTGTCCTGAGCTTTCCTCTTCTCTCTCTCAGAGTATGAGATTGAACGTTCCTTCTTTCTGAGGATGAAGTGTGTCTTGGCCAAGCGGAATGCTGGTCTCACCTGCGGTGGCTACAAGGTGTGTGGCTGTGCTGGATACATGGCCGCTGGGAGAGTGGGAGGGTTCTTTTTCCCTTGGGGCACCCTGAGTACACCCAGCCTGTCTCAGAACACTGTGGGCCTGGAAGGTTCACTAAGGTCATTGAACTTTGTGGGCACTTAGGGTACAACACTTAAAGACTAATTCTCACTAGGTCAGGATACTGCACTGCTTTTGGAGCTCTTAGAGATAGATGGGCCTCAAGAATTATAAAGTTCCTGGGGACTGGAGAGAGAGATCAGTGATTAAGAGCATCAGCTATTCTGCAGAAGACCCAGGTTCAAATTCCAGCACTCACTTTATGGCTAACAACCACCCATAGTTCCAATAGCAGGGGATCTGATGCCCCTTTCTGTCCTCCTCTGGCACTGCACGACATGGGTGCACTTACACATATGCAGGCATGACACTCATTCACACTAAAAAAATAAAAATAAATAAATTTTAAAAATTTTTTAAAAAGAAGAGGGACAGTATCTCTTCATTAAGTTTCTGAAGTGTAGGTATCTGGTGAAGGCCTGTCAGTCATAGCTTCAGATTTGGCTCCCAAGGTAATTAAAAACCAGAGTTTTAGCTTTAGCTACAAGCGGTGGTTCTCTAGTTGAATGTGAATGGTCATTAAAAAGCAGGTTCCAGGCCCCTCCAGTTCACATATGTTAGGGTTCATGGGAACCAGACAATCACTGCTCTCTTTCTCTCTTTTTCATTCTTTCTGTATAAACTCCTACATGAATTCACTCTGGCTGTGCAGTCAGTTATTATCTTGAGGCACTTTAGAATGTTGAAAAATTTGGGGCCCTTTATAGAGTTTGTGTCCAAGTAGACGCAATATATTTTAACTCCTTCCCCATCTTTTGGGAACTCTTTCCTTGGCTGAGTCTTGCCTCTCCCACCCCCCCCCACAGGTCATACACTGTAGTGGCTATCTGAAGATCCGCCAGTACAGCCTGGACATGTCCCCCTTTGATGGCTGCTACCAGAATGTAGGCTTGGTGGCCGTAGGTCACTCTCTGCCTCCTAGCGCTGTCACAGAGATCAAATTACACAGCAACATGTTCATGTTCCGTGCCAGCCTGGACATGAAGCTCATCTTCCTTGACTCCAGGTAGGTGGGCCAAGGCCAAGAGCTGGCCCTAAAGAATGGTAGTGCTCAGAGAAGGGACAGCCTTCCCTTGATCATAGAAGCCCATTTTGCAGGTGGGGCACCTGACCAGGTTTTGCAAAATGGGGGTGGACACCCAGGTCTGGGATGGCTGGCTGATGATAGAAAGACCTGCACTCATCCCTAGGGGATTGCACTTTGCAGGGTGGCAGAACTGACTGGGTATGAACCTCAAGACCTGATTGAGAAGACTCTGTACCATCACGTGCATGGCTGTGACACCTTCCACCTACGCTGTGCGCACCACCTATGTAAGGCCCCATTCTGTCCCAAAAGGAGTAGGAGGAGCGGAAGAACTAGGGTCCTGCAGACTGATGGGTGCTTTCCTTAGCTGGGGGGCGGTGGCAGTACTACAGGAGATGCAGTGAGGGCCTGCTGCCACCCCTTCAGGCTTCTCTGACTTGATGGGGCTGCTAACCCTAACAGAAAAAGAAGGGAGTGTTTCTGGGCGACACTCCATTCAGAAAGGTTTTATTCTTCACCCGCAAACATCACCAAATAACAGGCTAATCAACTATTCTCGTGCACATTGACTCACTTGACTTTTTTGGACTATTGTTTCTTGAGACAGGGTCTTACTATGAAGCTCTTGACTGGCCTGGAATTCTATATGTAGACCAGGCTGGACAGAGATCCCTGCTTCTGCTAGTGAGTGCTGGGATTAAAGATTTGTGAGCCACCCTGCCCCACCTGAGATTTTTTGTTTTCTTTTCTTTTGGAGATGGGTCTCTCTGTAGTCTCAGATAGCCTTTGAACTCACTTTGTAGACCAGCCTGGGCTGGCCTCACAGAGATTCACCTGCCTCTGCCTTCCAAGTGCAGGTACTAAAGGCATGCACCGGCCACACCCAGCTTTGCTGCCAGCTTAACCTCCAAGGCCTGAGAATTTAGGAGCTCAATTGCCCAGTTCCTTCCTTCTGCAGTAAGAAAAGCCAGTCTGTCTGGGGAAAACTCTAAATTTTAGTATTTCATCCTTTGCTAAAGTGGGAGAAGGCAGCCCTGGGAGGGCCTATATCATTAGCATAAGATAGGGGGGCTTCAAGACTCAAACCAGTTTAATTTCTTTGGGAATTTGCTTGCCACCACTCCCTCCTGCCTGGCCCAGTTGTTAGGGCCCAGAGGGGGTCCGCACTTCTACCTCCTGGCACTTGGGACTTTTTGGGGTAGGCTGGTTCACTATCGTTTTCTTTTGTCTGTCTAGTGCTGGTGAAGGGCCAGGTGACCACCAAGTACTACAGGTTCCTGGCGAAGCACGGCGGCTGGGTCTGGGTCCAGAGTTATGCCACCATAGTTCACAACAGCCGCTCCTCCAGGCCGCACTGCATCGTCAGCGTCAACTATGTCCTCACGTGAGTGCTGGCCTGGGACCACCTTCTCCCATCTTGGGGAGGGAGTGTGGGCTCTGGTCTGGGAGAGGATGCCAGCTGTGCAGCAGAGCCGGGGAGAGGCGGTTTGACGTGAGGCAGGTAGACGACTTTCATCTTTCTAACTAGGCTCGCTTCCATATTTTCTAGGAAAAGATTTAGGGGTTTTCGAAATACAGTCCGTATTTGCTTTTTAAGTGAACCCTGTATTAAATAAAACAGTGCTGCAGAAAGGAGAGGGAAGGAGGGAGGGAGGGAGAGAGAGAGAGAGAGAGAGAGAGAGAGAGAGAGAGAGAGAGAGAGAGAGAGAAGCTGAGGTGAGGGTAGACGTGGAGGTAGCAGAGAGAGAGAGAGAGAGAGAGAGAGAGAGAGAGAGAGAGAGAGAATCTGCGGTAAGGGTCCATTTACGGTTGGTTAACAAACCAGACATCTGTTTCACTTTTTCAGATGTGGGGTTTGAAGTTCTTAGTTCTTAATTTTAAACAGTCTCCAATCAAAGTTAGAGTTCTGAGAGTGTTTCTTCTCTTGAACTATAAAAGGGGTCTAAGTGACCAGAAGGGTCTTTTAATCCCCAGAAAGCTAAGGCACAGGAATTGGCTCCACAAGCATTTATGGGCCTCTTCTTTGGGCGAGGAGGGGAGCCCTGGATGTCACCTGCAAGCGCCACAGCCTGGGCGGCTGCACTGGCAGCATTTGAACCTTGTTCTTTCTAGAAACCATTATCGTTTCTGAGTGTTGGCGTGGCAGCCCGTAACCAGTCATGTGGCCTATAGTATGGGCCTGCTGAAGAAAGCAGTATGTACAATGTTTGTGAAAGCCAAATTGCAAAGGACAGACGCCTTTGTAAAGAAAACTTCTGTGGCAGGTTGTTGTTTGTTTGGTTTTTAAAGAGGATGAAATTCTTGTGATTTTTTTTAGAGGACCTCAGAAATACTTTGGAAGTGTTGACACGCTAGACACAGCAGAAATGCTTTTATGACTTTGGGAAGTTGGTTAAAGGATGCTCTTTGGGAATAGGTTATAATATACTTGACGAGGATTGGAATCATTCTACACTGCTTTAAACTGTAAAATAAAAATTGTGGCAACTGGAAATATGCCTAGCAATAAAACTATTTACTTTGTGCGTTGTTTAGTAAGAAAATCGAATGCAGTAGACCCAGAAAATGAGTTTGGTAAGGATTGGTAAGGATGATATTTTTAAAAATAGCTAAAATTAAGAATGTTTTATTTGCTCTCATTTTAGTATACTGTGTTAAAACATTTGATTTTTTTGTAATAGCAAGAAGGTTTAATATTTAATACAAAGTAAAAGCATACCATTATTTTGGGTATCATGAAACAAACCAGTCTATTTTATGGAGAGAGTTTTCATGTTAAAATAAATATTACAAAGTGGCAAAGTATAATACATAAAAGAAATGTTCTGTGAAGCAGAAGTATTAAAGGCTGAAAATTATCTCTGCTTACCATGGAAAGGGAATGAAATTCTTTAAGAAGGTATTTTGTATGTCTGAAACATCATAAGCATTATACATATCCTCTCGGGTGGTGCCTGTGGTTAGTCATCATTCTTTATCAAACAGCAGGGTATATAGTCACACAGATCCCTACAAATGATCTGGATGCAAGTTAGACCTCCCAGTAGGTAAGCTTAATTTATGTTTGGAGACATTTTGAAACATTCTGTTTTGTTCTCCAGTGGGAAAGTGTTCTTTTTCCTCTATTGTCTGTGTCATTCTTTACACACTTCTTGAGAGCTGTAGAATTAGACCATCAATTTTACATCAGACTGAAAACAATATGAGAGTAAACACATTATTTATAGGCAGAAAAACAGTGTGACACACATTTTTTGAACATTTTGCACCTCCAACTGAAAACAGAAATAAACACACAGAAGCATGTATACACAAGCACACAAGACAAAAGCTGAAGTTGATTATCCTTTTTATGGGTCTCAGCTCCAATTCACAGTATAAAAATTCTTAAAACATTTTTTTATAGCTGCAAATGTGGGAACTGCTTTAGATGAAATGTCACCAAGTGGCTCTGTGTGTGTTGACAGGATTTTCATAATGAACAGGTTGTAGTTTGTTTGATGTATATTTCACACATCTGGCTGGAAGTTACTAATTTACATTGTCTTAGCAAATTAAATAGGTGGCTATTGATTCTCTATGGTAGTAGTGAATTACCACATACATTTGTTTTTAGAGCTACTTCTCCATGCAACCAGAGAATGATAAGTGAATCCTTTCCAAACACACCACTGCAAACAGTGTACTTAGAGACTGCAAACTCCGAAACAATTTGATATGCCATATGTTTTCCAAATATAAACACTCTAATAATATACATTTTGAAATGTTTTTCTTGTAATTAAAGAAGAGGAGATTTAAAAAAATAATTATTGATAAAATGAGATGAGAGTGTGATATTTTGGTGGAAACTACATTCATGAGAAGCTCATTTTTCTAAGTTTTTAATGGCAAATATATTGTTGAAGTTAAAATATACCTAGAAAAATCAGTCATTATTATCTAATAAAAACATCAATGAATAGAAATATTCACTAACCTTGCTTTAGTTAGTGCAGCTGCAATAGTACACATGGGAAAATTGGATGATTTAAGAGGCAGGTGGTGCTGACGCTTTACTGGTTCTCTTTGACTGCTGTGTATTTTGCAGATCTGTAGAGAAGAGTGAGAAGACACTTTAAATATAAAAAATTCTCTTAGTTTCTTTGGCCTCTGAAGTTCAGTAAAATGTCTATAGTGTTTCTGTAACACCACTTCCCCAATAAAATAAAAATTTGAATAGCTTATGATTTTGTATAAGACTTGCATAACCTGAATTATTTCTCTTCCATATAAAGAATCTTGTATATTGTGAGTATGCACAGGCTTTGAAATGACTGTTATGTATGAGAAGCCTGACTCTTAGTTTTAGGAGAATAGATGAATGGAGAGAGTGACTAGCTACAGTGGGTGGAGGGCTGGTGGGGGATTGGGTGTTCTGAGAGTGTAGAGTATAAAAGGAAACCGTGTTGTGTGAAGACGAGTGATTTTTCTGGAATCATGTGTACTTCAGTTTAATTGGCAGTAGTAATTATTTACAGTCAATTCTCATGAAAAGCATTAGTACTGAATGTGAAGAAAATTGAAAACATGGAACATCCAATAAACTATGAAAAGTAATTTCAAGGAAAATGTAAAATATTGGTTCTTTTTGTTTATAGACTTTGTGTATTTTAAAATTAAGAAAAATTCTTCAATTTTATATGATAAACCAATGAAGTTTAACAGGTTTTAAAATATCTTAACAGTTTTTTAAACATAGCACTGTTAACATTTGCCATATTTGTTTTATGTCCTTCTCTATATGTAGTCTATTTTTATGTATATATTTTCCCCAAAAGTACTTTCAAAGAAGTTTTGGATATCATGGCACTACATAGTATTCGCCTGCCTAGTTACTATACCATTTAGGATGGCACATATATAGTGTTCTGAATTAATGCTTTATATATTTCTTTCAAGGTGTTGTTACCCTGGTTATCTAATTTGTTTTTTGCCAACTTTGCATAGTGGTTGGATCACAGATCCCATTTCTCATTTTCTAGGTGAGGGAAGTGAGACTCACAAATACTAAGTAAGTGATGGAGTCAGGAAACTTCTTATTCTTATAACTGACACATAATTGTAAATATTTATCAAGTATACTTTCATGCATGTATATTGGGTGCATATATATCAGCTCCAGCATTTACTATTTCTTTGTGATGAGGCCATTAAATACATTCATAGATTTTTTTGAAATACAGATTACATTATTGTTAACTGTGCTAACCTATCACGTAACTGAAATTCAGAATTTATTTCTTTTATCTAATAATAACTTGATACCCCTAGACTAATCTGTCCTTAGTCCTCACTACTACCCGAAGTCAGAATGAAAGGCTCTGCTCTGTGCCAACTATAGCATCCTGCCCCTCTCTGTCTGAGGGTGAGAGTTGAGTTGCTTTGGGGGGAAAAAAGGTCAGAGGGAGAGAGTTGGGTTTAAATGAATGAGGCCTGTAGTAGTCAGCCTATCCAATGTGAAATGGACTTTGAGGTGAATTCATGATGGAAGATTAAGAAACTGCATTGCTTCTTCACAACTGTGTGTTCAGATATTAATATTTTGCTGCCTTAAGTATGGTGGTAATATCTTATCAATGATAATTAACAATGTATGATTTCCCCCTAAAGCCTCATCGAGGATACTTTTAATAGTATTGTAATAATAATGTAGGCTGCAAATGTTTGTTTTTTCTTATTTCTTGCCTCTAGATTAAAGTTACAGTATTACTATTGCTCATTATTTCATTCTTGAAAACAGATTTAACATTTTATGTTTTTGTAAAACAAAAGCATTAAAGCAGATGTTAGCGAATTGGTAAACCAAGTTATCCTATTTATTGGATTTGACACAAATTACCTCTTGTGGCAGTGGGCTATTTCCAGATGGTGTGTGTGTGTGTGTGTGTGTGTGTGTGTGTGTGTGTGCTTTGTCCCTTTTGCATATTTGAGAGAAATGGAGATAATTCAATGGCAGCAACTCTCTCCTGGTGGTTCTACTCAAGAGCTGAGACTTCCCAGCATTCTCCAGGCTGCTGTGCCATCTTCTGGTATGTGGCACTGCTGCTTGCCTGCCTGCCTATTTCCTCATTCCCATGTGTCTTTGACTTCCATTCTTTTCTTTATTACTGCTATGACTTGAAGCATACTGACTCATACAATCTTTCCCTTCCTTTCTGGGTGATGATCTGGGTACGTTTGGTGAACAGCCTGACCATTCTCCTCTGGCTTTCTTTTAGCCTGCTTGTTGATGGAAAAGGATTCTGATCTTTGAGTCACATAAGAGAAAAACGGGGTTATTGCTTATTTGGAGACTGAGATATGCACAGTGTTGTGAATGAGTGGAAGAAACTCAGAAGATGC